AACTATAGTTCCCTTTTTAAACCATTACAATTTTAGTTCTGGTGGAAAGTGTGACTATAATAGGGTATTTCCCTTTCAAACTGTGACCTGGGTCTTTAAGCCTTTTGCTCTACTATATAATGTCTTTATTCATGTAGTAACAAGTTATCGTTGCTTTGACAGCAAAGCTTTACTGTTAACATGAGCACACATCTTTCTGTCACTTTTTAATATGGGGACAGAATAGGAAAAGATCCTATTTTTATTTAAATCAAACTTCTGATATATTTTAAGATAGCTGCAGCACTAAAATGGCTGAGGTTAAAAAGTTGAAAGTTATCAGGGAAATACCTCAAATTTACAAGAGCCTTTGAATTTTCTAGTAAACCTTTTGTTTTGGTTCGACCAGTTAGTGAGTCCTTGAAAATAATAGTTTGTTCTTATTCAGCATAATTGCTATATTTTGGGTACTGGTTTGCAGTGGCTGGATTGGTCCTGCATGTGAGTGTGAATTATTTCACTAACTTTAGCTGTATGTTACCAGATTTAAGAGAAGGTGCACAGCAAGTTGTTTTCTATGAAGTTCATGGAAAAGCATTAATTTCAGGATTTTGTATCATCTTTACACTGCTGGAAAAACAAATGCTTCAGTTCATAATATTTGCTGGGGAATGGCTCCCTCTTGTGGATCTCATCTGCTACGTATAACCTAGTGTTTCAGTGCTGCCTAGTTGCATGATTCCAGACCATTGAATTACTTGTTTAAGTTTTTTCTTTCAAAGGCAGTTAGGAAATGAGTGAGCCAGCTGTATTAACACAAGCTGTGTGGTTCAGTGTGGGTAGGGGAGACAGAGCAAGGATTCAAACACACAACCTTGATTTTCTTTTAAGCACTTAAAAAATCAGATGATGACTGCCCAGACATCCATAACTCTTTATCTACAAGGTAACAGTCTTTAGCTGTGGATCATTTATTTCTCAGACAGCACTAATTTGGGGTGTAATTCTTATTTGTTGCAAGTATCTCACAGTTTTAACTCTTCAGACAATATATCTTATTTTAATCTTGCCTTGATTCAGGACTGTAACAATTGGTGGTGATTTACAGCACACTGGCTGTGTCTACAGGAGACTGACTGCACAGTAGCTCATTACTACTGTGCAGTAGCATTGCATGGCACAAAGCGTGACGTGATGTGACACTACCGTGCGTTAGTAATGAGCAGTCAGTATCACGAAAAGACCATTCAGCGATGCTTGTGTTTGCAAGTACTAAGTGACTGTGCAGTAGTCAGCATCTCATGTAGACATGGCCACTAAGAAAAGAATATATACCTTAGCTTTAAAATAAGGCTGAAAGCAAAAAACTATTCAACATGAATAATGTGGTGAAAGCTGATCTGTCAGATGTTCCTAGAAATGCAGCTAAGGATAGTAAGATTTTCATTTCTGCTGTTCTAAATGTGTCCAGCAGGTGGAGGTAGAACTTAGTGAAATTTAAGAAGCAAAATTGCTGAGTATATAATCTGAGTTTGCAAAATGTTCAAGATCTAAGTTGTCAGCATTTTATTTTATTTTAACTTTTTTTTGTTTTATTTTGCTTTTTGTTTGTTTGGTTTTGTGGTTTTTGTTTTATTTTAAATTTATTTAATTTAATTTTTTAAAATTGTTTATCTGTTTTTTCCTGGAGACTTTCTTAGGTCATTACAAATAAATATAAAACTAATCCTTGTGGACACATTAGGAAAATCTTGTACTTCATAAGATTTAATTGAGTCTTTATTATTTAAGCCTTGCCAACAGTTGGAGGTCTACAAAGTACCTTTAGCATGAAGTCATTGCGGTGGGAAAGTCAATGTTTACTTTTCAGTGTATATTTGACCACTGTATTATCCAGTTAGCGCAACAGATCGGGGAAGGAAAAAAGCACAAAATTCTAGTCAGTGAAGTTGGCACAGACTTTTTTTTTTTTTTATTATTAGCCTATAACCAACTGTCACACAGTCTTGGGTGGGGGGGGGGGGG